TGAAGAACAGCAGACAGCTTTTGAGGACACTTTAATTCTTTTAATTTATTTCAATCCATATCGTTATTTCAATATTGAACAATGTTATCATTATTGAATATTATTTCTCATATTGTTCCATTGCATATGTGGTAATTGTTACGTCCCATCTCCATTATTTGAATGTGATTTGTAGTTTTATTTAAAAGGAACAGATTTTTTGAACATCACCATAAAGTATAGATCAAATCCTTTAATTAAAGGTATCTCATCATTATATTACACAGAGCTCATCCTGCATATTTTATGATTATGTGTAAACACTGAAATTAATTTAACTTTAGTTCAGGTTGCATTTCCACAAGTCTCGTTTTGTACATTTGAAGCTTTTATGTTTCCCCCAATGATGACAAGTCCATCCTCGCCATCTTTATGGCAGTATAAATTTCTGATGTGGTGATTCGTGTTATTTCTGTTCATTGTCAGTCTTTTTTCTCTGTGCGAAACTTTGCTGCTGCTGTCTTGGCCAGACTCTCTTGAAATAAGAAATCTTGTATCTCAATGAGAATATTTTTCTGGTAAAATAAAGTTAAATAGATTAAAAACAATATGCCTGTGAGGTTTGGACTGAGTTTACACAAAAAGCCAGAGCAAAATGAAACACAGCATCAGGTGTTCAAACATCAACAAAGTGTCACATTTCTCTTGTTCCAGCAGTTTTCAGCGTCCAAAGCTCCAAACTAGTTCAGGATCATTGAACCTGTCAGATAAAGCTGGATCTGTAAAGTGTGATCTGATGTTATTTCATTCAAACCATCTTTTGTGTGTCAGTGATTGTCCTGACAGTCGGCCTAATCTGTGCTAAGACCTGTGTGTAGACCTCTACTGAAGAGTTATACACAACACATGCAGAAAGTGATAAAAGAAGAAAATGATAAGTACTTCAAAAAGGTATAAGACGTCCTCCTTCATCTGATTTAATAACATTATTCAATGTTATGATTGTGCACACGTGTATTTAAATATCTGATAATCACAGAGCACATTGAGTTACTGCAGGACAGGAGAGCACCTCACCACATTATCACTATAACTTATATTAAACTATATTTATATCTGGATTAGGACTTTTTATTAAATCCCAGAGTCTGTCTCTCTCTCTCTCTGTCACTCTCTCTCTCTCGTCGGCCTATTTTTTTTACTCAGTAACGGATGTGATTTAAAATGTAGCTAATTAAAATACTTAACAGAAAACCTACTTAAGTAAAAGTAAAGATTTTAAAAACAACTTAAGAAGTCTTAATTACTCAATTACAGTAACGCGAGTAAATGTAATTCGTTACTTTACACCTATGTATAAAATCAGGTTTAACAATAAGAAAAACTGTGCAGTAACGTCTTGTGGCCACATGAGGACGGTGTTGTTTTAACGGCTCACTCAGCAACATTCAATCATCTGTAAAACCATAGACTGTAAATATTACTGGACGAACCCTGACCCGTCTGTTACATAGGCAGCTGGACTTAGCTCCGCCCATTCAGCTCGACGTCAGCAGTCCACTTCTATCATCAACTATTCCTGCTCATCCTGAGAAAACTCTATAAACAGTAAGTTAACATTTAACTTTTCTACAACACAGTTAAAACTAATTATATTCAACCCAAATATTTAATTAAAGTCTTAAAACTACACTTTGTTAAATATACAACTATGGTTATTAGTTATTTGTCAGAGCAGTTAGACTTTGTCAGAAGTACAGAGAAATACATTAACAAAGTTTTATCCATAAACTGTAAATAAATATGAGACATCCAGAAGAAATCAATATTACAAAGCATACAGTTCATGTTACTGTTCTGACAAAAAGAGGAATGTCTGTGTTTATATTTACTGATGTCAACAGCGATGAGGTGAACATGACAACTGAAAAATAATTATTTAGTATTTATTATAAGACATTTGTTTTCTATAGAACCCTGTGAAGTCATGGAGTCTGTGGACAGTGTCAGCTTCACACCAAAAACTTTAAGTATTAGAAAAAATAGTGTTTAAGACTGGTATCTATTATGATGAGCTGCAGCTACCTTGTTCAATATTATTCCTGCAGATGTGGCTCATAACAAAAAAACACCCTGAGCTGTCACATGTAGTTAACTGTACATGTTGTCTGAGGCATTAATTGAACACCTTTGTATTTCTCCTATAGACACAGTGTGGATTATTGGTGACTGGTCCGTCGAGGTGCCCAGAGAGCTGCAGAGACAGAGGAAGAAACCTGAGCCTCAACAACATCTGCATTTGTTGGTTCTTCTGAGGTGGACTTCGGTTGCTTCTCTTCAACAGCTCGCTGTGAGGGAGGTCTCCCCCAGATGGCCTGAGTGATGTCACCCACAGGCTGAGAGCTGAGACGGGTTTTAAACCTCTTGACAAACCGTTACACCGCACCCGCCTGTCAAGCTGGTCAGCTACACGCCTTATTGTGAATAACTCTTATCCTTCATCAAATCAAAACTGATGAGTCATCAAAACATTCACCCCCCGTACAGTGTGTGTCCATCAGACATGAGCTAATCACACCTATTTGTTTGTTTTGTACCAAGCTGTAAACATGTTCATCTCTGCTGTAAAAACAGACTTTTTTTAATGTTGTTTTTCAGATTAAATAAATATTTCTATATAAATGCACTCCTTTATGTCTACTTATGAGTATACATTTCAGATTTGAAATGACAAGACTAAAATGTGCATTAATGCTCAACTCAATAGCTTAGGGAAGGAAGTCTACTTTTACACAACTTCTTATTCTTTTGATAAATACTAATGTAGTTCATTTCTGAAAGTGGGATGGAACAGAGTCATTGCAAAATTTGCCCTTAAACACAGCCCCATTCTTAAATCAAGATACATGGAGAGTAAATAAGATCAATAACTTGTGAATAAAAACAGTTAAAAATGATTTAGAAATGTAGTCTTCCCTGATCAATATCACATAATATCAACTTCTCCCATCTAAACTGGACAAAGGGTTTTAAAATGGGAAGAAAAGTTTGATTGCAAGTTGTTTGGAGGAGATCTAGTTTTATTTGAACAGCATGAATACAGTCTTCCAAAGTGCAAACCCTCCTCCTCCTCCTGAAGCCTGTGGAGCTCCTTCATGTACTGCTGTCTTATCTGCTGGCCATCTTCTCTCAGCAGAACTTCGACTGTTGAAAAGTCATTCTGAAGAAGCTCGAGCATGTGACATGGATCCAGGAGAACGTGGACTTTTAGTGAGAGGTCTTCAGGATGGCAAAGAAAGAGAGAAAATATCAGTTATTCATTAAATCATTTTGTTTGTTCTCATCTATTTTTCTGTATTCATCTGTGTGTAAGAGCACATTTATAAATTCAACAGTGTACTACCCAGACAACAAAGGTCCAGTATTCAGGTAATCAACATCTATTCAAAGTTAAGAAGATAAACATTATTGTAATCATGCTGTTTTCAGCTCTCTCACTCACACAATGATATTCCACATCAAATTGTCTCAGATTTTGTGAGGAAAATTAAGCAGTTTATTGTGGATAGTACTTCATCTTAACATGAAACAAATATAACCTGAATTATTTAAATCATTAACAGGTCCCAACTCTCTGTGCTTTAGTACAGAACATACAGTAACTCATTTATTATTAACATGAGCTCAGTACATGGCTGTATTCTTCAAACTATTTCTTATACTTTATATCTATGTGCTTTATATCTTATTTTCATTCCATGTTATTTATATTTTATATTTCTACTGCTATATTCTGTGTATGAGTTCAGTGAAAATTAATATGGTTATTAATATAGTTCTTAATGGTTACAGATGCTCTTACAAAGTGAAGTTTTTAATTTGTTAACAGTTTGCTCAAATCTTAAGACACTACATCAACCATGTAACTTTAATGTCATCCTCTATAACCTACACAGCACATTAGGTTCAGTTCAGTTTATGTTACTGACGGATAATTACTACACAAAGTTTGTTTTTAATGTCCACATTTACGTGGAGTATAACATTCATCATAACATCAGATAACCACCGAGGTGAACCTTTAGCTTCTAACATCACACAAACTCATTATTTTCAACAACAACATCTTAACAAACATTTCTAAACCATTGACCGTAAATAATGTAAATAATGTAAATAATGAGCTACACTGAGTACAGTTAGCCGACTGGTTTACAAGCTAACGCTAAACAAGGTAGGCCGATAAATATAAATATAAACACGAGTAAGCAGTAAATATAACACTACTATATCACTTACCGAAGAAAACTGAAGCATCAACTTGTTGGATGGTCTGTTAACCGCACAGCAAGCCATGTATGTTGTCAGATATGTGTTAAACAAACTCTCCAAACGAAGTAAGAAAGAGGAGAAATCAGACGGATCAAGCTGTTAGCCTCCTGACTGACCTCCTGACCTGCTGACCTGACTGATGACTGAGATGCTGACTGAGCTGCAGAGCTGCTGTCAATCAATCAAATCTGACACAACCTAATATGGGCATAGTCGTTTTCCTTAATAGAATAAAATCTGATGAGTTATAAAAAAATTCACCCCCCCACAGTGTGAGGAGAAGGGGCCGTCAACTTCTCAGATACATCTCGTTTTTTGAACCAGGCTGTAAACATGTTGATTCCTGTGGTAAAAACGGGCTTTTTTGGCTGTGGGCTTATGGCACTTCCGGCGCTTCTGCAGCCAGCCTCAAGAGGAACCTCGAGGAACTGCAGTTTTTTGTACTTCCGCATAGGCTTCATTTTTCGAGACCGGAGGTTGCCCTTTGTTCAGAACCTGTCTGAGTCAATCTGACCTAGTTACTAGTGACGTCGATGCTCAGGCTGAATTCCTATTGGCTGAGACAGAGGTTGACGTCAGCACTCCTTTTTCTCCTCACCTGAGCTCGAGGTGGAAACACGCAGATTCTGAAGAAGTTGATGAGAAACATAAATGTTTGAAGTTGGACGAAGCTGAAGACTTCACAGGTCACAATGAAGACTCTGGTGTTTGTGTCTCTCGTGGGATTATTCCTCCACGACACGACGGCAGGTGAGTTCAGATTCATTGAAGACGATTTAGATGGCCGCACAGGTGTGAGCAGTGTGCACAGGACCCTCCACAGTATGCTTTAAAAAATACTATTTATACTCTACCCAGAGACATCTACTGGGACGACTTAATTGCTATTTTTTACCGTAGCTCGTTTTTTTATATTCATATTTCTCGCTTATTTCCTGATTTTCTGCTACAAACTGCTTAATCGGCCCCACTGCCTACAAACAATTGCAAAAGTAAGCAGGTGTCCGCAATTCCAAGCATCACTCAGACTGTGGCTAGCTGCCGACATGGATCCAGCTGAGATAACCCTACAGACTCTGGAAGGCTGTTCAAGAAAGTAAAACGGAGCTGCTCCTGCAATTTGATAAGAAAATGAGTGTCATTCAGAGCAATCTGGACTCGATTAGAGGCTCCCTGACCACGCTCGGTGAACAGGTAGAGGAGATTGTAACAACGTATAAGTGCCAACCAAGACAACATTGAAACGGCATCTGAATCAATTAACAACCTGGATAAAGATGTGGCGCCTTGTAAAACAAAAACTCCAGCAGGCTGAAAACGACTAAAGGCGTCTAAACCTTCGCTTGGTAGTCCATTGAGATTATGTTAACAACTGGGTGATGGGTGAGAGAGGTGCAGCGTAGTTTCTGGTTTACGCTTGTTGCTGCTTTTTTTTATTTTCTCTCTCTCCCTCTTTCTTATGAAGTCGGCTTTTTTTATGAGCAGAGGAGGGACGGTAAAGGTGTGTGCGCTTGCATTTGTGTGTAGTATTTAGACTGTCCCCAGCTCTCCGCACTAAAAATCTCTTGTACCTCACCGGAGCTAGGCTAAACGTTGGGGTAGATCTTCACAGATGACTAATAGTGGTGTGGGACCTGGCAATGTTAAGGGGTAGTCAACTGGGATCACAAGACTGTTTTTCTTCCTTTTCCTTCTTTCTTTTTGCTTTCTTCCTTATCTCTTTTTTCCCCCTTTCTCAGTTAAAGACAGTATTGGAAGTGCTAAATGAGACCAATCTCATTGTCAGTTGGTGCGTACCGGGGAGTGGGAAGGGAGCCCAGTGCAAAAATATATGAATTTAATGGATTTGACTTCACAAATTGCTATAGGCACAAGATATATCTAGAGTCAATGCCCTTCACTTTCTTTGTGTTTTATTTTATATATATATTTTTTTACTTTCTTCCTTTTTTTTGTCTGTATTTGTTTAATTGTGTATTTATCTTTTTTCCTGATGCTTTTACATTTGAATATACTGGCTGTACTAATACACTCAAGCTGGCTTTATAATGACTAGTACTTTAACTTTGATGACATTTAATGTCAAAGGCATCAGTAACCCCATGAAAAGGAAAAATATTTTAAACTACTTAAAGACCCAAGACTGTAGTATTGCTTTTTTTTTTTTTTTACAGGAATCACACTTCACAGACGCAGAACATCTAAAACTAAAACGAGACTGGGTGGGGGAAGTTTTTTACTCTTCAGATATTTCTAGGTCTAGGGGTGTGGTCATATTATGCCACAAGCGAATAACAATGAAAGTGCTTAGCCAGGAAAAGGACTCAACTGGGAGATGGATAATACTTAAATGTGATATAAATCAAGAACCATACACACTTATTAATATCTATGGCCCAAATAATGACAATGCTCTATTTTTTAAAGACATCCTATTAGCTGCTGCACAGATTTATGGAAAATGTATTATGGCTGGGGATTATAATTTGACACTTAACCCCTCACTGGATAAAACAAAGAAGAACCCCCTCCCACTAAGCACTGCAGCTAAGGCTGTCAGGGAAGGTATGCATGATCTGGGCTTGGTGGATACTTGGAGAACACTTAATCCACTGGAGAGAGAATTTTCATTCTTCTCAGCAGCACAGAACAGCAACTCTAGAATAGATCTGTTCCTAATATCCAAAACAATGCTTCACAATGTAATACTATGTAAATATAAGGCGGCAACCTTATCAGACCATTGTCCTTTAAAATTGAGAGCAAGACAAAACTTAGAGCGCCCCAGACCTCACCGATGGAGATTTAAACCATACCTCCTTAACGATCCTGAATTTGTTGTCTTTATAGAACACAAAATTGATGAGTTTTTGGAGGTCAGCACCAACTCTGCATTCCCAAGCACCAGATGGGAAACTCTGGAAGCCTTCTTAAGAGGACAGATCACATCTTATGGCTCTCATAAACAAAGAACCAGCAGACAACACTTAAATATATTAGAGCAAGAAATCCATGAACTGGAAACAAAGCACTACTATGAAAAAGGAGATAAAACTGGTAAACTTCTTAGCTGGCAAGTCAGAAAAGAGGAAAGCTCAAAAATAATAGATTCAATGCGAACTAAAGATGGCAACATTGTAAACAAGCCTGATGAGATAAATCAATGTTTTGAAAGCTTCTATCAAAGTCTGTACAAATTTGAAAACCAAATGGGTAGAAACAAAAAGTGTGAGGATTTTTGGGGAAATATAGAAGTAATTAAGCTCTCAGAAGAAATGAAAAGTAGTCTTGATCATGAAATATTGCTAGAAGAACTTAGTAAGGCAATTCAAAGCTTGCTATCAGAAAAAGCCCCTGGCCCAGATGGCCTACCGACCGATTTTTATGAACAATTCCAGAACAAAGTGACTCAACCATTGATGGAGATGCTTAAAGAAAGCCTAGAAAAGGAAAGACTACCACCAAGCCTAGAAGTGGCAACCATCAATGGTATTTCCCAAGATGTCTAAGGACAAACAACTATGTGACTCTTATCGACCTTTGTCAATGCTAAATGTGGATTTTAAAATACTCTCTAAACTGGTAGCACTACGGCTGGAGGGCGTGATGACACACCTTATCCACGAAGACCAGACAGGATTTATACAACAGCGACAGGGTGCAGACAATATCAGAAAGTTAATCCATATCATCGAACTTGCTAAATGTTCAGAAGATCCTACATTCGTTATCTCTATGGATGCACAAAAGGCATTTGACAGAATCGAGTGGGAATATCTTTTTCACACGCTGAAGCACATGAACTTTGGTGAGGTTTTCATAAAATATATTAAAATCATGTATCACTCTCCCAAAGTTATGTCCAAGCCATTTCAGCTGGGAAGGGGGACAAGACAGGGCTGCCCTCTTTCCCCTCTCTTATTCGCCTTGGCCATTGAACCCCTAGCTGTGGCAATTCGCTCTAACAGGGAGGTATGTGGTATACAGACCGGAACATGCGAAAGCAAACTTTCCTTATATGCGGATGATTTATTAATTTATATTACACATCTAGAAAAGTCTGTACCGCAACTGCTCACAATATTAGAGAAGTATAGTACAATATCAGGCTACAAGCTTAACTACGAGAAGAGTGAAGTCATGCCCCTGAACCAAGCTGCTACCTGTAACTTGGGAACACTTGCATCTCACTTTAAACTGACACCAAACAACCTAAAATACTTGGGAATTCAAATACCCAATGACCCGAATCAAATATACCAAAAAAAACGACTTGCCTATTCTTGAAAAGATTAAAGTGGACTTAAATAAATGGAAAGATTTACCCATCTCATTAATCGGCAGAGTTACCATCGTCAAGATGACTGTCTGGCCGAAAGTTATTTATCTGTTCCAGTCAATTCCACTCAATTGTCCATCAAGGTTTTTTTTTATCTCATTGAACAAATTAATTACTAGTTTTCGGTGGTCTCAAAAACGTGCCAGGATTAAGTTATCATCATTGCAAGCTCCATTAAACAAAGGAGGTTTGAACCTACCTAATATCAGGTTATATTACCTGGCCAGCCAATCTCGCAACATCTGGTGCTGGCTTAACAGTGAGAAAGCATCCACCCCTGGATGGACCAAATTGGAAAAGCATATAATGCATCCTACCCCATTATATTCAATACCTTTTATTGAAACCGTCAAAAACCTCAAACTGTTACTACAAACCGGGTCATAAATCACACATTTAAGTGCTGGAAAGGAACATTTAAACTTATAGGGTCTCAGAACACCTTGGTAAAGAGCACACCCCTGTGGAACAATCCACTTGTCCCTAAAGACATCAGAGACAGAATCATCAGATCTGTGCCATCAAAATGTTTTCTCAGATTTTAAGTACCTCAGGGAAAAATTTGACATGCCACCGGATAAATTTTGTAAATTCTTGCAAATAAGGAACTGGGTCAAAATGAAAACCCCCAGCTTCACCAATATTGCAGAAACATCGATAGAGAAAATGTTTAGGACTACCAGCACACAGAAGGGCCTCATTTCTAAATTATACGCAGTATTAAATAATGAACAGAAAGACGATAGGATGATCCAACTCAAGAATAAATGGGGAAACGACATTCAGTATGAATACGCAATTCATGAATGGCAGTCCCTACTCCAAAAGACTCAAAAAACCCTAACTAACACAAAACACAGATTAATCCAATTTAACATCTTTCATAGGATATATTACACACCACATAGGCTTTATCAGTTCAGTCAGGAGACATCTCCCTGCTGCCCCAGGTGCAACAATCAAACGGGATTTAATACATTGTGAATTGTGAAAGACTGAATGATTACTGGAACTTTATATTTGACCAACTTTGCAAAATATTTTTGAAAGAGCTGACCCCAAATCCCTGCATTGCTATTCTGGGCGATGCTACAGTGCTGATAAAATTTGACAAGCATGAAAAGAAACTTATCCTACTGGCTATGACTGCAGCAAAAAAATGCGTTTTATGCCACAGGAAATCTGAAACCCCTCCCCCAATCAAGCAGTGGTGGTCAGAATTGCTATCGTATTGTACACCTGAGAAAATTGTATTTTCTGTATTATGTGAAAGGACAACAAATGCAATTCCAAAAAGTTTGGGGTCGTGTTATAGATTATATCCCCATAATGGGGGATCAAGTAGAAGCCTAATTTGATTTATTTATCAAAGTGTTACTATGATCATGTCTTTTTTTTATTTTATTTATTTATCTTTTATTATTATTATTTCTTTTTTTTAATTAATTGTTGTTATGTTTTGTTTATTTTATTTTATTTTTTTCTTTCATCATTACCTCAGTATCTTTAGTATTATTACTATTATTATTATTTTTGTCTCTACATAAATTTGATGACATCTAGATGTTGCTTTGCACTGTGCTCGGGACGGGGGGGGGGGGGAATGTGAATGTCAGTACGGTGCTGTTGTAAGACGGGTTAAAGATATATGTTACTGCTGCATGGTGTCTATTGTTTGGGTAAAATGAATTAAAATAAAATAATTGGAAGACGATTTAATGGAAAGAGGGAAATGTCGCATGCCTTTATAAACTGTTGGTAGAAATGAAAGCTTCATTTGATGTTTGTTCTCAGGACTGAAGCAGCTTGTTGAAATGTGAAAAGTGAACATTTAATTTGACGTTAGTAAATCCTGTTTGTTCACGTCCTCACACCCTGATACTTACAAGAAAAGTGTTGTTGTGAGAAAGGCTATAAAAAGTGTCTGCTAGTTATCTTTTCCAAAAGACAAGCCGAGAAATGATGAAGGCCCGGTTCATATGAACAGGACCATGAATGTTAAAATAGCAGCATAACTACAGTGAACACAGCAGATAGACTCTGATTCAGAAAGAAAAAGGAACTAAATGCCTTCAAAGTGTTTCACCTCTAAAACCATTAACAGAGCATTTAAATGGACTCTTTAAGTCCTTCATGACACTTTAATGTTAGAAAAAGTGTTTTGTTATTAATGTAGTATAATTAATGTGGTATAAATACTTATTTCACTTGAATGAATTGTGATAATTAACATATAATCAGAGTGTCACAGTCATTAAAGTTCATTTTGTGAGGATCAAACTCAAATATGTGCTCAAAGAATCAGAAACATAATCAACCTCCTGACCCTCAAAATGAAGTTAATCTCGGTTTATTGTTTTACCTCTGAATATTTGTATATGAAATATGAATAAGCTCAAAGCTATTCCACAGATGATCTTCATCTTTTACATGTTTGTTTGTGTTTAGTTGAGATCACATAAACCCTGAAGCTCCAACATTTCATTGAAGTCAAACATCAGACTGTTTAGTGGATCTAGAAACACATATCTGCTGATGTGAGCTTATTGCACATATTTAGTTTTCTGTGCTTATGTTGGCCGATAAGTGACAGAAAACAGTGAAGCAGCTTGAACATCATTTAGAAACAGAGTCTGCATTACAGAGTTTGTCCACCAGAGGGCAGTCACGACTTTATTCTCAAACTGAAACGTCACAGCTCAGTTTGTGTTTCCCACACAAAAAGAAATAAATGGTTTTAATCTGTGAAAGTCAAAAAAACATCCACAGCAGCCTCAACAATTCAGCATTAATAAGACTACAAAGTTTGTAGACTTTATTCAAAGTGGTTACATTTATTCCTGCACAGATTTATCTAAAAGCTTTTTTGTTCTGAGCAGTGCATATTTTTCTAAAGAGCAGATTAAAAACAGAACAATGATCGACGTGCATTCAGAAAGCAGACAACATGCAGGATTCAGAAATGATCTGTCATTTAGTTGAAGTTTTTTAGTTGAGTTTTTTCTAATTGAGTTTTTCTGCGCTGGCTGATTGTGCAGCTCCACTCAGTCTACACAGCTTCTTAAACTGTGCTCCATATACTGTTCAATAGTTTTTCTTTGTTGCTGTCCTCCAACACTGTCCTTTCAAAACTCAAATAATAAAACCCGCCTACGTGAGGACTAGTCATGAGATGTCAAGAAGTCAATAAAAAATCCACTTAATGAAACATATCTGTCAATGAAAGTCAGGGGCATGACTGCATCACTTGAATATTTGACTTGTTGAATAAATAATTTCAGTATAAAAACATTTTCTAACACTTGAATCAGAAATATCAGAATAAGAGTTCCAGGAGAACTTTTTCTTTTCATCTCTAAATTAATTGGAGTATTTAATGACTGCAGAGAGATGATCAGGTTTGGTTGAATGTACTGGAAGTGTTTTTTGATTCTGTGTGCTGGATAATAACTTTTGTTCAATGATGCAAAAAGTTTTAGATTAAACTGATGAAAACATTTTGTCCTTACAGTGATGCACTCTCTGAAGTATTTCTTCACGGCGTCTTCTGAAGTCACAAACTTCCCAGAGTTTGTGGCTGTTGGGATGGTTGATGATTTTCAGATAACTTACTACGACAGTAACATCAAGAGAGTAGAACTCAAACAGGACTGGATGAAGAAAGTTACAGAAGACAAAGCTGACTACTGGAAGAGGCAGACTGAGAAATCTATGGGTCACCAACATGTCTTCAAAGGCAACCTTGACACTTTCAAGCGGCGCTTCAACCAAACTGGAGGTTTGTTTATGATTCAATTTATACTGAAAAAAGATTGTTTATAATTTGATCCTGAATTTTAGTGAACAGATGTTACCACACACACACACACACACACACACACACACAGAGTCAGGAGTGTGTGTTCATGGTTGAATCTGTTGGATGAAGTCTTTCCTCGTCTGAAACAAACAGTCAGACTCAACAGAAACATCTCAGAGACTCAGACTCCTGGATGCTGCTGTACTGCTCTGATTCAGTGTTTCTGTCCATCCCATAATAATCTACAGACATTATTAACACTTGATCTCCACTAGATTACATCACAAGAACTCTACTGAGCTGCCCACATGTGAACTCTCCTTTTAGAAAAACAAACCTGTTCATCACAACAAACCAACAACACACAGCTGATAGAGGAACATTACTGCCTGGTTTCTCAAACTGAGGAGCAGGACCCCAA